AACTATAATTCTTAAGCCTAGAACAACTCAGAACAAAAAAATTTCGGTTAGAACAAGAAAGATAGTATAAGTTTACTCTTGGCCCGATAGACTGTTTGTCAACAAACTTTTTTTTTAATTTTTCGGGCTTATAATTAAACTTATTGATTTGTGCTTTTGGAACAATGTTTGGAACAACTAGAACAATCTATATCGGTATCGGAATGCTTTATTTTCAAAAAATGGGGTGCCAGGTCAAAAACATTTTTTTCATTTTTTGGACTTATAATTCAACTTACGGATTTGTCCTTTTGGAACAATGTTTGGAACAACTAGAACAATCTATTGCGGTATCAGAATGTTCGATTTTCGAAAAGTGGGGTGCCAGCTCAAAAAATCATTTTTTTTTGTTTTATTCGAAAACCGTTTCGAATGAAGCAATATCACTTTGGAACAATGTGGTACAAAGTCAGAACAATCTGGAACAACTTTCAAAATTATAAATTTCAAAAAGTGGGGTGCCAACTTCATACACTCTATTTTTCGGGCAAATCGTCCGTCGTCCGGGATTCGTCGCGCATTGCGGTTAAAGGGACGTCTACATTGGAAGTAAGCAGTAAAAAGTAGGAAGTAAGAATAAGAAATTGACCAATCATAGTTGATTATTCTTCTCACATTCGACTGTGGTTGGTCAATTTCTTACTCTTACTTCCTACTTCTTGCTATTTACTTCCAATGTAGATGTCCCTTAAGCACTCTAAGAGAGCTTCCCCGTGCGCATATGCGCGCTCGCTCGCGAGAAGGGCGCGCGGAAGGGTCCAATCGGGAAAATGTGTATACCGAACGCGCGTACGGTAGCGGCATCGATCGCGTCTCGTCGCTGTACGAACGGATATGAACGGAATACACTGCCGCTAATGCATACTACACGTAATGCCGGGGGTATCCTAACTTTACGGCGTCCATCACGAACTCGTTCCGCTCGCCGCAGCTGCTCCCGCTAATACTTCAACATGGGCTTCGCCCGTTAGTCGAAGCGAAGTGAGAGGCAAGAGCAAGAGAACAAGAGCGGCACTCGCCGCAGCAGCTTCGCTTCAGCACGAGCAGACGAGCGGAAGGCTCGGGGCATATACCGTTGGTGCTTGCTCCGCTCTCGCTCTGCTCTCGCGGGCCCAGCCTCGACAAAGTGTGCCGCTCGCGTTCACCGACAGTACGAAATTAGCTTACGGATTCACGATAAGCGGCTTACGTTTCCAGCGGGATTATCCGCCCGGTCCGCAATCGATTCTTGATCGTCGGCTGAGAACACTTTGAACTCGTGCGCTTCGGGACTTCAGCTCGTCTGGTCTTGTCTTGTCTGGTCTCGTCTCGTCTCGTCAGATTTCTCGCGTTGGCACACGCGCGCGGCCCGCTTCGCTCAGGCAACATTCGCGAAACGATAACACACACTGCTCGGCTTCTCTACGGTGTAACGATCTCAGCATCTTGCCTCTCCAAGGGAGAGTGACCGCGTGATCATTAGTCCCCGGGTCAATGCCCAATCATCGACACTGAGCCTATTTCGATGGTTGCAGCCGGCTGGCGCCGGTGGATGCGCCAATTGGTTGGCGCCGGACATACGTCATAAATCACGATAGCGCGGAGTGTTTTTAGCGAAACAGCTCATGCCCCGGTTGATATGCGGTTGATTAGTAGGTGTTCTGTCAGAAAGAGACGTCACTCTTTTCAGTCATCGCAACGCGCCGCGGTTGTCAGAGGAAAAATCGCGAAGAAATTGTCGTCTTGATAAACTTGGGTTTACAGCTCTGGTGTACACAAAGTTTCAATGGAGTCTTAAATGTTTATCAGACCAAAATTCTCGAATTCTTTTCAGTCATTTCTACTATGTGTGGTTATATTAGGTTGATTCCTTTGCTCATAAAATTTCATTCGTCAGGATATTTCTACTTGAAAGGGGTGTTCGTTCATATAGAAGGCCGTTCAATATTTAGGGAAGAAAATGTTCAAATAATCCGATTCGAAATTTTGGCTCTATGTTAAACTTTGAAACGCACTAAGAGTAGCAAAGCTAGCAAAGTAGGTTTAATTCTAATGATACAATTTACTTCTATTTTGACTCTGATGAGTCTAAAATTTCTATTTTCACTATCTTTAACATCAAAATAGTTTATATTATAGGCTTCAGAATATCAAAATAAGTAAAATAAGTTGAATAGTGAGCTGAAAGTAGGATCAAAATCATGTTTGATTTCATTTGCGAAATCAAACATGATAGATCAAGAGCTGTCAAAATGACAGAATTGATCGCAAATGCATGAGAGATATGCGATATGTGCGATTTAAGAAATAGATTCTTAGTTAACTCGCTAACGAGTCTACCTAAAGTAGCTCCTAATGTAATTTCCGCACTTTTTGCGCCATTTACTACCGCCAGGCGGATTAAATCATTAGGGTAACGAGTAGGTAATGGGAGAATCCAATCGGTGCGACTTAGCGACTCGGCCGCAAAACGCCGAGCAACTTCACGGAGACGAGAACTCCCCGCGCCGCACCTCCCCGTTCCGTAATCCAACGTCGCGATGGAGAATCTTTAATTAAGTTAAGTCACTCACCTCCTGTCCTTTGATGTTTCTATATCGAACCCATTTGCCCAGTCGCGGCCTCCAGTACTCCAACAGATACGCCTCCGCGTATTCTACGCCCACGCCGTTTCCGAAACGGCCCTGGGTAGCGGTAGCCGTGATCAAGTGGATCGTGTGGAGGTCGATCTCCAGCCATTCTCGTGCTTCCTTGGTGATTTGGTTCTTAGGGCACCAGGCACCGCCGAGATTCTCCGATTTCAATCTGTAACGACATGGCCGAGTATCGAATTAGTTCTCTAGCTCTCTCTCCCTCTCTCTTTCTCATTTGCGCTTAGCTTCCTCATACGTTGAGAGCAAGCTCGATCAAGTCGCGAGATGATTGTTATACTACTGCTTAGTATCAGTGAGAAATCAATTAAAATATGCGACCTCAATATTGAAATTGATGAAAAAATCGCAAAGAAATATCTCATTGTTGCAGCGTGAAATAGATCTTAATAGCATTTATAATTTAATTAATATAATTAATATAATTAATATAATAATATAATTAATATTAATTTAATTAATATAATTATTTATTTTGGGAAGATTGCCTTATCTCCCGTGTAGCTCGCAGAAAATTACACGGAGAGAACTTTATCGTGAAAATTATCGTAGAATTTCGTATATGCTGTTTATATTTCAGAAGTCGAAATGTGCTATCGAAAAATCTACTAGATTTCTTAGCGAGACAGACTTCACCAACACAGTCTTTCTCGATTTTTGCATTAAAATAAAATAAAAAAAAATCTCTATGAAGAAAAGAGCTACAATATTCTCTCCGTGTGTAATTCGTTAAAATAGCTCGCACTTAGGTTCATGTGGTGTTTTTCGCAAGTGCCTCGTTTCCAGTGCCGAAAACTCTTATCTGCACATTCGGGAGTTCGAAAAAATTCGCGGTGAGTTCGATGCCTGCAACAGAGGCGCGTGAAATGATCGCATTTGCATTCTTAAACGTCGCTCTCTCTCTCTCTTCCTATCCGAGAGGAGGGATCCGCCTCCTCCGAAATTTCCATCACAAAATATGTATCCTCGTGTTGCGTGCATCGTACTCGTAAAACTAACGGTCTAATTAGACGTGAAAGTATCGAGTTAGTTCCTCTCGGGCAGCTCCCGTCCCGCGCTATCTGGGGATCAACCGACGTGCGGTCGACCGTCCAAGTCCTCGCACCGAATTCCGATATTATCACGTTTACGTGAGCGAGAAATCGGGGGGTATTTCGTGCTCTGTCTCTCTCTCTCCTCCCTCTCTCTTTCTCTCTCTCTCTCTCTCCACCCACCAGCTCTCGGACGCTTATTTCGCTGATGCCGTGCAGCCTGCGCGCACGGCGTGAATCCGAATTGCATTTTAATGAAGCACGGAGAACACTCGGAATTAGAATAAAAAGGTGTTTCGAATTCCTCGCCTCGGGAGGAAATGCAGCTCGTGGAGAGCCGTTCGACGACGCGCTCGTTAGAATACCCGTCTATTTCACTCCTGTGCTCGGGGAGTGAGGCGCGATAAGAAAAATAATACGTCGACTACAGTCGTGTATATCGCGCCATTAACATCGCTACAGCGCGTCGCTATAATAATCACGTAGAACTCAGTGTATAAAACAGGACTCCGTATTTTGTCGTTCCGGATGACGTAACAAACAAAAGTGGAGAAACGGAAAGAGAAAAGGGGACAGAGATGACGAATGTAAGAACGCGAAGACAAGCTTCCTCGCCGGCGACTTATCGAGATTTCCAACAGAGCGACCGATCTGATAACAGCGTTGAATTTACATAGGCGAGGGAAAATCGGGAAGTAGCCGCGTATCATCTCCCGCGCAGGTGATACGGGTTGGACGGGCCGTATATGCGGCCATTTATACGTCCAAGCTGTGCTCGTGCTTCGGTTTTAATCTTCGAGGAGCCAAGAGCAAGGCAAGAAATAAGAAAGAGAGAGAGAGAGAGAGCTCTGCGCACCCGGGTCGCATGAATAAAACATGAAGCGCGAAGCGCCTTCCCTAATTGCGTGGACCGTTTAAATGCTCGACTAAGAGTGGCGCTCCTTTTCGGCGTAACGCCGAGGATACGTGCGATTATACATGGGCCGAGTGTATTCTGCCCAAATTGCGGATTAGCAGGCCCCGGTTCAGGATGGTATCGCAGCCGCGGCGCAGATAACGTGCGCTTTAACGTATCCCGAGACGCGCGAAAAGAATCGGCGATGAGGACAGAAAAAACCTAGATAGACAGATATAGGTAAATTTGATAGCTTCTTTAACGATCGATATGTAAAGTCATAAGTGCACTCCGAGCAAAAGACGGTGGTGGTAACTACTACGAGATTTCTGCGTAGAATTAATATGACATAGTTCAATAAAATATTTCGAAGTTATTGCAACTGTGGGTGGTTACGGGAATTACATATAATTCTTGTAACCATTCAGTTTTAGTTGTAATAACTACAAAATAATTTATTAAACTATATGCACTTTGAGAAAAGGAGGTATTTTTGAAAATTTATCTATGAGATATAAAGTTTGTTTCTGCAAAGCAAATTTTTATTTCGCAAATAAACTTTCACGTATTTTTTTCTTAATGTATTTATTACTCGTATAATTGTCACCACCGTTATCTTTTCTTTTAGTGTAATTCATATGGCGTTCATATTTATTATACACTGTAAAAATTGATGTATTAAATTTAACATTTCATGTGTCCCAAATCATCCACTCTCATTTATGTGTAAATTTAACACAAAACAGATATGGTAAAAAGTAACACGTATAATATATAAAAAATTAGCACAAGAATTTAACACCTGAATACCGTCAGGAATCACAATTTGTATTAAATTGACATATCTATAATGTTAAATTAACTAAAATAAAACGTTAGTTTAACATTTGAGAGAAGTATTAATCTATGGTTTTGATGAAATGAAAATGTTAAATTGATATAATCTATTTTTGATATATTAAATATGTCAATTTAATACAACCTATGATTCCTAACGGTATTCAAATGTTAAATTCTTGTGTTAATTTTTTCCATATTATGTGTGTTACTTTTTAACACATTTGTTTTGTGTTAAATTTACACATAAATGAGAGTGGATGATTTGGGACACATGAAATGTGTTAAATTTAACACATCAGTTTTTACAGTGTACAAAAGAAAGAGATAGAAACACAAAAGAGTCAAGAAAAAAATTATTACAATATACGATACGTAAAAAGATGAACCAACAAGTTACGTAAGATATGGTATGGAAATCTAAAACTTAATGTGGATTTGATGCTACATCAATATGATGCTATATCAATATGAGGAATTTACATTATTTTGTCAGGAAGATTTAATGATTAATTTAATACGGCATATTTGCTCCATAAATGTAACTAAAAAAATTGTGCAGGCTTCTTGTTATCGATTGTCTCACGTCCTGGCAATTGCGAAGGTCTATCTGAATGGAGAAAGAGGCACCGGTCGTCTGTTACGCGAGAACGTTCACCGCGACAAAATAAGACGCAACTTATAATGAAACGGTACAATAAACCGCGTCGGTACCCGGGCGCGGCGTGATTATAATAATCTTCCGCGATAATATGGAATATAAATGGAGTCGTTTACTTCGTTGTCGTCGTGTATGTGTGTCGGGGAATCGCTTCGTTTCATCCCGACGCATCTCGTCGCGTCGCGACTGATCCACGAGGTGCTAATAATCGCGCCTCTCGCGCTCGTTATTAGCCGTGGCTACGATAAGCCGCGGCTGGCTGCATTCCCGATGGCGGCTGGCCGGCCGCTTTAACAGCCGTGGCTGCTTTCGCGAGATTTACAGGCCGCGCGCTGGAAGCACCTCTCTTTATCGTTAACAACCGGCTCGCACTCTCCCCCACCGGCGCTGGTTAGCCCAAGGTGCAGCGGCCAAGGAGAGGTTCTCCACGAGCCAGGCTAGATCGGACAAACGCGCAGACGTTTATATACGCGAATAAGCGCGCGTCAATTCTCTTAACCATGACATATGATTTTCACGACCAGCTCTTCTCGAATGCAAAGCCATGGCAATGACAAACGTTATCGGTCATGTATCTTATATCGATCATTTTGTATCTTTATCGGATATCTTCTCTTATCGTGAACTCGTGAAAAGTCAAATTTCACATTCTCATCATTCTAGAAGTTATATGATTGCTAAAGTCGAGTTCACGTGAAATTTTTGTACTTCTCACGTTTCCGCTCTCTTAGGAAAAAGCTGCATGATCGCTACTCTGCATCGAAATTTTAGTTTTACGTTAACTTCGCGAATTCTGCGGAATTTGAAAGATAAATGAAGAATTCCCAGAAATGATACTATGGCACATACTATTTTGCTACTTTGATGCTACAAATAATGACTGCTGTTTGTTCCCCGTTAAATTTCAAAGAAATAATAACTCCAAAATGTGATTTGATCGTCTCGAGATGTTTTACCAGTATTTGATTTCTATTATTAACTTCAGAGGGCAATTTTATCAATTATGTAATTTTCATAACTGCAGATAGAGTGTGAGATAAACAAATATTAATAATGAAATATAATAATTAAATATTAATAGTTAATATAGGTGAATAAAAAAGGATTAATTGGATGAACAAAGTAGCACATTTCTTATTTTCTCATAATCTTTTTGTTATTTTTTTGACGTTAAAAATCTCGATAAGATTTGAAAACTCTTAAAAGAGCTGATAAGAAAAAAATTGTAGATAATGGCAAAGGTAACAATTGTTTGTTTTATAATACTGTTCACCGCAACGAATATTTACATCCGAATTTCGTGCAATAACACGAATTTCGTGAAAAACAAGTGAAAGAGAGACTTTAATAAATGTAAACAACGCGATATAAACAACGCGAATTTTGCGATCCGACGAGTATTATTAAACCCAAAAATTAGCACTAGCGAAATTCATATTTAATTCTAAGATCAATGTTCATGTCATAAATTATTTTGCATTTCTCAAATTATTAATTGCAAGTTCATATTCGTGAGCTCAAAACGTTGTTCACTTCAATATTTTTTGCACGAGATAAATCATTGTTTTTTAATTATTAAACACAGTTAATCATTAAACACATATAGATTGATAAATATCTAGTTATCAGTATTCGTAAATTATTTGCGAAACAATGACAAGCTAATCATGTCTGAATTTCGCCTCGCAAGATATCTTTTTCTCAAAGAATTAATTAGACAACCATCAAAA